ACAACACCTTCTGAAAGGCACCTTCCAACTGCTCTGGTAAACTGGGGAATAGCAGTGAACCATAAGGATTCATGCAACACTGAAAGTTCTACCAATGGAGGTCATGTCTGGCAGAGCCTGATGTGTTCCCTGATTGGCCCAGCTATGCTATTTAAAACCTAGAGAAAACACCTAGAGGCTTTCTATGTAACAAAGCAGGTCTCTAGCTTGTTGCTCCAAACAGACCTTGCTGCAGATTCTTGATTCTATCTCATACCTGGCCTTGCTCCTTGTCGTGGTTCCTGGTGCCCTGCACTTCTCCTGACACCTTGCCCTGCTGTAGCTCCACTAACTCTACTTTAGCTGTTTCATGTGGCTCCAACCTAGTAGTGCTTGTTGACCATAGAAACCTAATCCTAATGCAACATATTGACTGCTACTTCTAGCTTTGGCCCTCTAGAATTAATTTAGGACATGTTCTCAAGGCCCCTGTAATCCTCTGGCTTGAACCTGGGCTTCCACAACCGAGGTCCTGACAAGCAGCCCTTATCGCTATTACTAACAGTGTAATTAACAAAGACATGAAAATATCTTCTGTGTTATGATACTGCCCAATAGTTCCTCACTTCCCTCATGATTTTAAAATCACAAACAGAAGATCTGGTGATGAGGGTGTAGCCAGACAGGAACCCCCTGTAACATCCATCTTTGCTTGCCTGGAGCATGCAGGGCACACAGAGCAGTAAAAGCCTTGAACAGAAGGCCCGGATATGCAGGCCCAGGCTGCTGTGACCGTGAATGGCTGTAAACAGAGATACGCCAATTGCTGACCAAGAGGCTGCCGAGAAGTGCCCTTGACTGAAACCCATATTGATACGAACACACAGCCGTCCGCGGGGGGAGGAATCTCTCGCCCAGTAAAAAAATGTTCAGTATTCATAATTTAGTTATCTCTCTTGCAAGTGTAAATCAAGTTGAAACTTGCTTTTAAGAACAGGCGCCACAGAAACGGACCAGTACAATTTGGCATCTTAGATAAGAAAGAGGATACGGGCCCCTATGGGTATAAAATGGGTCCAGCAGCACATTTACTTTGAGTGTCAATCTACCATCTATCTGCTGGTCGGGTTAGGTGATTGACCTCCCGAGGTTCCACGGGGACGCCCACCTCGTATTCGTCTTTCCTAGGAATTGAGAGACCGGCCCTGGCCTGACACGCTGGAGTCGAGAGGCACAGAAAGGGGTAAAAATTGTACCTGGATGTGGTCCTTTGTTTAAGTATATATATACATAGACTTAGAGCTCTTTAAAGATTAAGCTG